TTACATAACTAACATTACCATAACTAACATTACCATAACTAACCATTACATAACTAACATTACCATAACTAACCATTACCATAACTAACCATTACCATAACTAACCATTACCATAACTAACCATTACCATAACTAACATTACCATAACTAACCATTACCATAACTAACATTACCATAACTAACCATTACATAACTAACATTACCATAACTAACATTACCATAACTAACCATTACATAACTAACATTACCATAACTAACCATTACCATAACTAAACATTACCATAACTAAACATTACCATAACTAACATTACCATAACTAACCATTACCATAAATAAACATTACCATAAATAAACATTACCATAACTAACCATTACCATAACTAACCATTACCATAACTAACCTTACCATAACTAACCATTACCATAACTAACCATTACCATAACTAAACATTACCATAACTAAACATTACCATAACTAACATTACCATAACTAACAATTACCATAACTAACCATTACCATAACTAACCATTACCATAACTAACCATTACCATAACTAACCATTACCATAACTAAACATTACCATAATTAACATTACCATAACTAACCATTACCATAACTAACCATTACCATAATTAACATTACCATAACTGGTCCAGAAGAATTCATCTGAAGAAAAGTTGGTTTCCAAGTAAAACGATCWGTTTTTCTAKAACAGAAACAAACAAACAAACAAACAACAACAACCTGTGATGACGACAGTTTGTTTATTGTTTTTGTTGCATCATCTGTCCTCACGCTCCTTCTTTCTGTTTCTTCCTCCTCCTCTTCCTCTGCAGGGCATAAGCAGCTTGTTCAGCTCTCTGAAGGTGGTCCGTCTGCTCCGTTTGGGCCGGGTCGCCAGGAAACTGGACCACTACCTGGAGTACGGTGCAGCGGTTCTGGTCCTGTTGGTGTGTGTGTTTGGACTGGTGGCCCACTGGRTGGCCTGTATCTGGTACGTTTGTTTCTGTTAGGCTAGCTGTAGCTTCCTCAWCCAGTTTGCTTTCATTAGTCAAATCTGCACCATATGAACCAAAACTGTAGGAGGGAAGGGATCCATCAGAACCTGCAGAGTCTCTGCTGGGTCTTGGTCAGGTCTTCAGAGCTGTATTCAGAACTCAGTGGACACTTTATGAGCCATGAGAAGATAACTGGTCCATTCCCAGAGCTTCTGTTGTGAACCCATGCTGGTTTATCATRGGGCTGATGGTGTACCACCATGACATCATGCTTCATCTCTGATRAGGCCCCGCCCACCCTACTAACCCCAGAGCCCCAAACAAACCATTGGCTTTTGGAATCTATTCAATCCAAGATGGCTGCCYCAGCTAGATGACTCTAGAAGCAGGATGTTGTAAATATCAGTCATTTCTGCAGATGTTGAGCTGAAAGCTGGTGTGATCGTAGGAGTGGTCAGAAACACCTGTTTGGATTGTTCCACAGGTGAACAGGTGAGTGTCATGAGTGGGTTTAAAGGGAGCATCATGAACGGCTCAGTGGTTCAGAAACAAGGATTTGTCTTTCAGTTGAATTCAGGCTGAAAAAGATCAGCAAATCATCATATTCTGTTTGTTTTATATAACATTCCTCTTTCATTAGATGGTGGTGATGGTGGTGGTGGTGATGATGATGGTGATGATGGTGATGATGGTGGTGGTGATGATGGTGATGATGATGGTGGTGATGATGG